AGCGGGCCCGTGGCGAAGCGCCAAAAGCTTTCCAATGGCCTCGCAAAGCCACAACGCAAACCTGGCTCTTCGCGCCTCTTCGCCCCATACCGCACCATCGGCCTGGTGTCTCCGACGGTCGTCCCTTTCACATCCGTCCCGTTGGGCAAGACAACCTTCCAAATCACGACTTCGGTGGGTCGAAGTCTCCAGACGTACGACTTGCGGCGGGGACTGCAGCTGGTCTTTATCACGCGTCCACAAACTCCCGGACCGATCACGGCGAGCGGAGCGTGGAAAGATAAAGTATTCGGTGCATGGTCGGAGGTTAGAGGGGGTGGCGCGAGAGGGGTCTGGGTGTTCAAGAGAGGAAAACGAGAGGCGGAGCTGGAGATACCGAAGGGGTGTGGGGAGGACGTGAAGGCCTTCTGCGTCTTCGGCGGGTGGATTGTTGGTGTATGCGACTCTACATTACTCGTGTGGAAGAGTACGACCTATGAGCTATACACCACGTTGCAAGGCATCTCGCCCGTCGCTTTCACAAGATGCATTGCTAGTCTTCCGACCTTCTTGAACAAAGTCGTCGTTGGCAGACATGACGGCAGTGCGGAGATCTGGAACGTCTCGAGTGGCAAGCTCATATACACTGTCTTGCCACCATCTACCGCTTATGGCGCGGTGACTGCTATCCAACCAACTCCGGCGCTTTCTCTGATCGCCATCGCCTACGAGAAAGGCCCGCTTCTGGTCCATGATGTCCGTGCCGATCAGACGATCATGCAGCTCAGCACCTCTGCCGGCGCACCGATCACGTCCATTACCTTCCGTACAGATGGTCTGGGTGCAGGCGACGACGGCCAGAAAGCCGGAGTCATGGCTACCGCTTCCACAGCTTCCGGAGACGTGACGCTGTGGGACCTGAATGAGGGCGGTCGGAAAGCGGGCGTATTGCGCGCTGCTCATGCTGATCCAACGCCGGCCGCGCCAGGTGGCGTGAGCAAGGTCGAGTTCTTGTCCGGTCAGCATACCCTCGTAAGCAGCGGACTGGACAATAGCCTCAAGACTTGGATCTTCGATCACACACCATTTTCACCTATCCCACGCATTTTGCATCACAGAGGCGGCCACAGCGCGCCTGTCACAAAGCTCGACTTCCTGCCTTCCGCATCTGACGGCTCAGACGACACTGGCAAATGGCTCATGTCGGCCAGCCATGATCGCAGTCTCATGGCCTGGTCACTGCGGCGAGATAACCAGAGCACCGAGCTCAGCCAAGGCGCTGTTCTATCTAAAGCGAAGAAGCAAGGTTTGCTGTCAGGTGGAAGTCGGGACAGCTTGCAGGACTTGAAGTGTCCGCCGATCACTGCCATGGCCTGTAGTCTGAATAGAGATGGCGGCATGGGCGCAGTCCCCGGGAAGCATCCCATCTGGCAAAACGCAAAGGGTAGGAAAGTCAACGCCGAAGTGTCCGCCATGACGGGATGGGAGAGCGTGGTAACGGCGCACGCGCGCGACCACAAAGCCCGCACGTGGTTCTGGGGTCGCAAACGTGCAGGTCGCTGGGCTTTCCCGACTACTGATGAGAGTCCGGTGACGTCCGTCGCCATGTCGCCATGCGGTACTTTTGCTCTCGTCGGGTCGGAGAAGGGCGGTATTGACATGTTCAATCTGCAGTCTGGTATGCATCGGCAGCGCTTCCCAGCCCGTCTCACGACGCAGCAAGCGAAACAGCTGAAGCTGGACATGCACAAATATGGCCTGGCGGAGGAGCGCTCTGAGGACGGTAAGAAGATCTTCTATCGAGGTCAAGGCAAACACGCTTCGGCTATTGTTGGGCTAGCCGTCGACAACCTGAACAAGACGGTCATCTCAGCTGGTGAAGATGGCAAAATCAAGTTTTGGGACTTCAATACGGGACTTCTGCGGCATCAGCTCGACTGGTCCATTTCTACGGGTATCACCGCGATGCGCTTTCTGCGGTCCTCCGACTTGGCAGCATTCGCCGGAAGCGATGGCTACGTGCGCGTAGTGGATATCAGCACGTACAAGCTGATCCGTGAGCTGTGGCCTGCTCGGACACCAATCGCAAAGCTGCAGAATGCGGAGATCTCTGACCTTACTTTCTCACCAGACGGCCACTGGCTAGCTGCGTCCATGGACTCGTTGGTCTTGCTCTGGGACCTGCCCACCGGTCATCTGGTCGATGCGTTCAAGCTTCAAGCCCACTGCACAAGCCTGGCATTCTCGCCGACGGGAGAGTATCTTGCGATCGCCACGAAAGACAGCGTCGGGGTCGATGTCTGGAGCAACAAGGCACTCTTTATGCACGCACCAACCCGACACATTGGTGCTGCTGAGCTGGCCGCTATCGTAGATGCAGATAGCACACAAGCGCCGACCACGAGTGGAGAAGGTGGACAAGAACTCATTACCGCTGGCGGTGACGACGAAGAGGACATCGAGGACGACTTGATGGCCGGCCTTGACGAGGAGCCTAACCTCGATCAGCTCTCCTCCGACCTACTATCTCTCTCGCTGGTGCCCAGATCACAATGGCAAAACCTCCTGCATCTCGATTTGATCCGAGCGCGCAACAAACCCATAGAACCGCCCAAGAAGCCAGAGAAAGCGCCTTTCTTTCTGCCTTCGCTTCAGAACAAACAAGCTGCACCTGGTGCGCCGAGACCCGAAGAAGCGACTACAGCTGCGGAGCTCGAGAAAGAGCGATCCCGCGTTCAAAAGCAGAGCCGTGACAGCGGACGAAGCATTTTCGGCGCTCTCCTCCACGAATCCGGCGAGACGCAGGTCTACGCGCCAGTCATCGAGCAGCTCAAATCCCTTGGCCCGGCCGCCGCAGAAATCGAGCTGCGCTCCCTTGATGCTGGAGGGGACGAGATGCTCACGCTTGTGCAGGCGCTGACGTGGCTGTTGCGGGAGCGGAGGGACTTCGAGTTGGGACAGGCCTGGATGGCGGTGCTTTTGCGGTTGCATGGGGACCTGGTGGTGAACGATGATGCGTTGCGGAGTGCTGTTGGCGAGTGGCGGGATGCTCTTGATGAGGAGAGTAAGAGGGTGGCGAGTCTGGGGGCATATTGCAGTGGTGTGGTTGGGTACTTGAGAGCTGCGAGAGTGTAGTATAGTATGGTCCCGATGTCTCCAATAGTGCAATCTTTATTCTTTGAGCTTGCGCTTTCGGTCTCTGTAATTACTTTCTGGTCGTTCTGTCGCAACTACTTCTTGCCGATCAAGGGTGGAAGAGGCCTTCAATACCGAGCATCCATGTCCTCGAGATCCGGTGCCTCTTCTCCATCACTCTCGCTACTGTCTCCCGCCGTAGCCTCCCCATGCTCTCCCTTACCATCATCCTCCTCCTCATCATCAGAGCTATCCGCAACCTCGTGCAGAGACGCGCGACTCATACCGGCACGCGGCCCATTCATCTCCACCCTCCCCTCACCTCCACTCAAATCCGCACCCAACATCCTCGCCTGCTCCGCCGTCAATTCAACAACCTGCGGCGCATACTCCCCCGCCTCATCCTCCTCATCAAACGCCGTAGTGTCCATACGAACTTGCTCTCCATCCTCCAACTCGAGCACGCCCGACTTCGCGAAAGTCCCGCCAAACTGCCAGCCGTGCTCGGTCCGAAGGTAGTCCTCCAGATCGTCCAATTCATCAACAATATCTTGCACGCCGAGACTGCCTTGCAGACTCTCCAAGCCCGTGCGAAAGCGGGTCAATAGCCCTTTCAACAGCGAGCCGCCCTCGTCCGCTAGGTCTATGAGGCCCGTGTCCGCTACGCGGCAGTGCTGAAGCTGCAACGTCAGGGCTCTAATCGCCTCTATAAAAACCCCCGGTCTGGCAGCGGCCGCGGAACGGGATGTGAAAAGTAAAGTGAGGATCCGCTTCCACTGCTCGAAGCAGGAGAAATTATTGAGCGTCAGTACGCAGAGGAAGCAGAACTGCAATTCCCCCACGATCTCCATCGTGTCTCCCGTCGAGCACTGCTGCTCTATGACTTCGTTCAGCGCCCAGGAGCGGTCTTGCGCGGCTTGTGTGCGCTCGCGGCCCGTGGCGCCCGGTCGCCATGTACGCTTGAGGTCGATGGGGAGGAAAGCGAGTTCCTTGTCGGACTGCAGCTCGTCGACGTCGGAGCGGTCGAGGCCGGGTATGGCTTCGAGGTCGCGTTTGGCGGAGCTGCCGGAGGAGAGAGTCCAAGTCTTGCCGCCGGTTATTCTGGTAAGGAGGGCTTCGGTGATGTGTGAGGTGAGCTTCGTCCAGTCCACGAGTTCCTCTTGGTCGTCGTCCTCGTTTGTGGTCTTGGCGGTCGTTTGCCGGTACGGTGTCAATCCCTCCCGCCAGACGCCGCCCAGGTTTGCTCGCCATTTGAGATGCTCGGCTCTGTCGGTGACTGCCACGAGCGACTCGGAAGAAGACTGCCATCGGGTGATGATCAGGGGTGGCCCTGAATCGACCGGACCGCGCGGGACATGGAACCAGATGCCGTGCCGCTCCGAGAAGGCGGTGTTTGCGCCGACGAAGGCAAGGTGCAGTCCGGCTGGTACAGTTTTGACGCCCTTAAATCGTGGCGTAGTGGTGAATGCGAGTAGGTCGATGCCAGCGAGTGCTTGATCGGGTAGATTGAGTATGAGTAGCGCCGATGAGGCTGTCGCGTCCATATCGAGAAGACGTGGGGGATTTGTACAACTCAAACTTTCCGCTTTGGGAAGGCACGCCGATTTTGACCTTGCCTATGCCGGAAAATTGTGGCGTTGAGCGTACCAGAGGCTTGGGGCAATCCTCTTCAGGTTAGTATCACAGTGTGTAGTATATGGGTACTGACCCATTAGCTGCAGTAAAAGCAAAAGTAACGGCACGTTTACGTTGAAGATTGATAATATGGTATAATCGGGTTCAGTTGCTAGGAAAGCAAAAAGAAGCAATGCCTATATGCAGGATTGTTGGTTTGGACCTGCTGCGTTGTTAGAGATTATCCGACCAATGTTGGGTTTGCGCAGTTGTGCTTACGCTGTGGGAATTGAACCCACGACCTTTCACAGACATGCAGCGCGTAAACGTGCTGGATGCGAAGCGAAAATCATACCCCTAGACCAAGCGCTTCCCTGGACGTTAGCCAGTTGTCATCGAAGGCGGGCGAGCGTGGCGACTTACCCCTTTCAACCAGATCACGTCATCATATCGGTAAGTGGTCAAAATTTTGAATATATTAATATCAATCTTTGCCCGAGCTTGACCCGCGAAGCGAATGCGGCCTTTGACTTCCATCTATCTTGCCTGCCTTATTGGGGGGCACCAGATGGTGATGTAAGAGTATCATACGCCGGGGCATTTCCCCGTGTGACGATCATCTCGGTCGTGATGATAGATCAGCTTGAAGACAGGGAACACATGTACGTCTACGAATGGCTAAGGTCGAGGAATACATGCAAACCAACGGTGATTGAAACGGGAGGCTGTCAAGTCTGTTCCGGGACTATAGTCCATCGCGCGACTGTCACAGCTGATGGTACTCCGCTCTTAGTAACAGAGCGTTCAGAAGTCGTCTCGGCGTGCAGAGCAATGCGACACTTCACAGCACAGCGCAACGCCACGCTATTCCCCCCACAACCATCACTCCGGCAACGCCATACCCGAGCATGATGCTCAGCGCGGGACCAGACTAGTACGTCCGCGCCAGATTCCGCAAGTACCAGTCCACCACCTTTCGCCCCACCTTCGCCTCGGAGACTTGGATCATGTCTCCCTGCATGGCGTAGTCGAGATCGCTCGAGTTGACCACATCGCCCTCCAGCAGACCTCCCTCGCTGTGCCTCACCTGACGTGACCGCTGCTTGTTGACGAGCAGCCAGCTCTTCAGAGTATCGGCGTCCACCTCGAGGAACCCGGCCAGCTTCGTCAAGTCCATGGTGGTGTACAGCTTTAGGTAGCTGCGCACGGTTGGTGACCACATGTTCGTCTTGACTTCCTCCATGAAGATGGACAACTGGTGCTCGACCGGGTCAATGTTGAGAATCGGCTGGTCAAAATCCGGCGGAGTTGGCGAGATGAACTTCGGACATGCCGCGCGGAACAGCTCCTCAAAAATCGGCAACGCCTCGGGCCCACCACGTTGCATCCGCGTGAGCTGCTCGCCATACTTCTCCCTCAGCGCGGTGTGGATTGTATCATCCAGCCTGGTTGGGTAGAACGCCACACAGATTGCCACAAGCGCGTACATTTGATCATTCTTCTTCGTGATACTGTCATACTGGGCGCCCTTCTGGAAGTTCTTCGTCCGGCTTACGTAGATGAGGATGTGGTTGAATGCGCGGAGAGCGTCGGCGTAGCGGTGCATCATCATGTAGCTGAAGCCCACGTAGTAGTAGGTGGTGAAATTGGCCGCCATGACCCGCGCGAACATGGCCTTCTTGTTCAGCTCGATGTCATCCAGAGTCTTGAGCGCAAGGCTGAAGTCGCCAAGCAAGCAGTGCACCCGTAATAGACCGATGACGGAGAAGTAGCCAAGCATTTGGTACAGACTTCTGCTTCCGTAGTCGCCGGCGTACATCGTAGGATCCTCCCCTCGCTTTCGTGCCGCGAGTTGTTCGCTGATTTGAGAGCGCTGGATGAGCGAGTATAGTACGTTGAGGACGGAGTAGCAGCCCCATGTGTTCGGATTCTCGCGGAGTATGGCAACCTCTTCTTCGTTGACTTGAGTATGTGATTGTTGGTAGGCGACACGTTGACGGTAGGAGCAGAAGGAGTTGAATTGGTAGATGAATTCGTCGATCACGTCCCAAGCCCAGTAATTCTGTCAAGGCGAATCAGCATCATCCTCACTGCCATAAGATCCACCTCTACATACCGATGGCACATCGATATCCACCGGACCCTCGCTGTTCAGGATGAAATGGAAGAGGTTGCAGTAGCTGTCGTAGCTCTGGATCTTCGTCTCTATCGTCGCCTGATATTCCAGTGGTGTCGCCGCGGCTTGCAGTTGTGCTTGGAGATCCTGCGGCCCTCCCCCCATCGACGTTGAACGGTTTAATTCATAGTCCTCCCCATCGTCGAAGCCCACCTGCTCCTTGTACTCGTTCGCAAGAACCTCCTCCTCTCCATCCGAATCCTCATTCTGCTGTCGCTCCGGGGCACCTTGCTGATATGAGGGCGCTTGTCTCACCGACATCGTTGCGTTGGTGTAGACGTCTTGAACTCGCGACCGTCGTGGGCATCAAATGTGCGCCGCATAATTTTGGGGCGCGAGCGCGAAGTCTTGGCTATGCCTAAGGCATCAATCTGTTATCGGCCCGCTGTACGAGGTGGCTGCTAGAGCTCGCCCAACATCATCTCCAGGACGCTTTCTTATTTGTTATTTCTTGACATCGGAAAGATCGCATACCAGTAGCTTGGGTCGGAGTCTGCTGAGTTATACGTCCTACAGTCTCACAACGTCTCGCTCTCCATCATCATGGACCAACTCAGCCCCCCCATCCACGAAAGGCCCGAGAGCAGCGAGAAGGCTCCCGTGTATAGAATAGCAGTGATCCAGATGTACCCCAAGGTGAACAATCACGGCAGAAGCTAAACAGAGTCTCTCCGCTGAGCATCGGCACAGCCCATGGAATTGGAGGCCAACTACCAGACCGCCGACAACTTCATCCGCTCGGCCGCCAAACACGACGCCACCCTGGCAGTCCTCCCAGAGTACCACCTACTCAACTGGGTCCCACACGACGAGAAGTTCAAAGAAGCTTGCGGTCAGTGGAAAGAATACCTGGAACGCTACCAGGCGCTGGCCAAAGAGTGCAACATCTGCATTGTTCCCGGCACCATCCTCGAATTGCACGATGCTGGCACCGAGGACGAAGTGCTGCTCAATGTCGCCTACTTCATTGACAACACCGGCGAGATCGTTGGCCGATACGTCAAGAAGAACTTATGGGGCGATATCGAGCGCCTGCACCTGACCTCTTCATCCACGGATGCGCATCCCGTCTTCGATACGCCAATGGGAAAGGTCGGATTGTTGATCTGCTGGGACCTGGCGTTCCCAGAAGCATTCAGAGAGATGATACGGCAGGGTGCGAAGATCATCATCATTCCTACTTTCTGGACATTAGCAGACTGCTCGAAGGCTGGGCTGGCCGTGAATCCCAGCGCGGAGGCATTATTCCTGGATTCGATGTTGACGGCTCGATGCTTTGAGAATACGTGCGGTGAGTATAATCTGAGTCGCATCAATGCAGTCTCCAAGCTGATATGGTACAGCGGTCATCTTCGCCAACGCTGGTGGTCCTCCCGGGAAAGGCTACGCAGGTCTGTCGCAAGTCTGTGTCCCGTATGCCGGGGCACTCACGAGACTCGGCAGCAGCGCAGAGGGTATGGCGGTCGTCGACCTCGACATGAAGATTGTCGAAGATGCAGAGCTGAACTACCAAGTACGAGCTGACCTCGCTCGAGCGGACTGGCATTACGGGTATAAGCATGGCCACGAAGCCAAAACGTAAGCAGAAGAGGTCAACAACGTACGAGCTCCTCGTGTTGTAGATACCTTCGTCTACATTACATTATCTTTACAGCATCTTTTCACTCCCTAATATTGACAAGGTGCCTCGAGCATCAATCCTTTCGACGCTTTCGCAAACACCTCAACATCCGCGAAGCCCGCTTCGCCACGCGCCTCACCCACGCCGACTCCCTGCGCGGCCTCTCCTCAGTCCACACCGTACAGCTAGAGCCAGTCGAACTACGTGCCGTCCCACAAGCAGTCTCCGAGGTCCTCGTCTCCCACGAAAACCGCTTCGGTGTCGACGGAAGCGAACATACCCGACGGCGCGGTCTCTCCTGGGACCTGAATTCCTGCAAAGTCTCCACCTCTAGCGGCGTAGGCGGTAACGGGCGATTGAGGTAGGCCTGAAGATCGAACGGTTCGCTCCGCGAACCTGAGTAGACATCCCGCAGCGTTCGCAAGTCTGGGACACTGCCTCGTCTGGGTCGGAGATGCCGTATTTGCCGCGAGCTTTCGCGCGGATGGTACGCGGTGGAAGGGCTTGAGTTGGGCGCGAGGGGGAGCGATCACAGGGGTTGTGTCTGTGGACTTCTTCGTGGTGGGGCGAGTACAATGGCGGCAGTAGGTTTCGGCGTTGCAGCGGCGTCCGAAGCGGGTGTTGAGGAAGGCGAGGGGCATCTGCTGGCGACGGCGGTGGGCGTAAGCCATAGTCTGGTGTGCGGGTGAAAGGCCGGCCTCTACTTGGAATATATTGATTGATTGGGTGTGTGAAGCTTGGGAGAGGTGCCTGCCTCTGGACTTGGGAGATGATGGGCGGTAGCACAGCGTTACTGCTCGTCCTATATGGGCGCAGTGGGTCAGACATACTGTTCATCGTTCAGGAACGTGACAATGGGCAGAGAGCTGAGACGTCTCTGAGTAGTGAGACAGGCTGGCAGCATTGTACGGCTCTTCGTCTAAGACTCGGCCGCTGATAGTCTTGATGGAGCAAGACACCTGGCTCACCATCGCTGTCCAGACGCATCTCACTCGTCAGCCATCGAGCCACGAGCATCCTTAATGGCGACCCGAAGCTCACCGACCGTCATCGGAAACCTACCGCTTCTCCAAACCTGCTGTTGATCCACAACAAAGCCCTCCATACTTCGAAGTGCAACCACCAGGAAGCCAAGCTCCTCCCGATCCACGTCGAAGACTTCCCACCACTCCACGTCCGGTAGACTGACCCCAACTTCGCGAGCAGCAAGATAGATACTGGCGGTTGCCAAGGCACTAGGCTGGTGAGTGAGGTACAGCCGCTGCGGACTCAGTAGCGAACTGTTAAGGTGCGCGAATGCTCGCTTTGCCAAGGTGGAACCATCCGGTCCACTGAAGGCACCCAAAGTCTGCATGTAGTTGATACACAGGCTATATGGTAGAGCGACATGTGTCTGGAAGCCTAGAGTGCGTAAAATAAGAGCCTCGTTCGTATACAGGCGCTCGCGCTGGGCTTCGAAATCGCCTTCGGATAGTGACCATGTAGGCGTTAACGGTAGTTTACCAGAAGCGACTTCCGCGTACTTGCCATTGACGCTATCGAGGAAGGCGAAGACGGTGTGGAGTTGCCTCGG